TGGAATGCTCTCTCTCTCTCTCTCTCTCTCTCTCTCTCTCTCTCCAGAGGAGATGTTTCCCTGTCCTCTCTCTCAGTCTAGGAAGGGACTGCAGTTCTCTGGCCTGGGCAGTGCCCTTACTCTGGGCTGGTCGTGGGATCCGAACCCTCGGATGGGAGCGCCGCCACGCTTCCCAAGCGGCGCACTATCCAGTGGGCCACCGGGCCGGCCCTGATTTAGCTAATTTTGACTCAATTTCAGAAACTAAAACATATTTGGCCATTCAAACCTGTAAAGTCATAATGGATTCTGCTCAACTTTAAAATAAGGAGGATATTCATACGCCCAGGAAAGACTCAGTTTTATCTAGAAATAAGAATATGGACTTATTAAATGTCTCTGAAAGTCCTTTCTGGTTAGATAGCTTTGTCCTATGAATTTGCTATCTTGGCAACTGTAGATTGTCTATGGATTAGTAGGGATTGATATTTAACATCAGTCATCAGTCACAGTATCTACTATACCTTTGTTGACTCCATCATATCCCAAGCGGCTTATGCTCAACATTAATGACAACATTAGCCTAAGTGACATATAATTAGGAAAGCAAATTTTTAAAACCAAAAATAATGTGAGAGATTCCAAATCCAGATAGAACAACATTGTGGATTATTTCATATTCACGTTCCTGTTAGTCTCTCCACACCTATCCACTAATACAGCTTGGTGCTTGATTATCCTCTAAGCCTCCCTAGTGCTGACCTCTGTGATAGTGGCATTGAGTTTTGCCAAAGGGAAAGCTTATTCACAAGGTTAGTAACTTGATAGTCAGTGCAGGTTATTTGTCCTGAGTCTTGAGTCTGACTGAGTCCAGAAATCAACGAAATATCCTATATAGCCACCTACCTGATGCCCTCCCCCAGGGTCTATTTCTCCTATAAGGAGTCAGAGCTGCCTGGCAGAGGCTGCGCGAAATTGGAGAAATCCTGACATTAGCTGTTTCAGAAAATGACACAACCTTTCAGGAATAATCAGGACATAATTAAATATGAGTAAAAGGCTTGGCGTTGTTCCATCCTCTATAATGGGTGTTCACTAGTGTGCCTGTTATTTTTGCAGCTATTGCTTACCTACATTTTGACTAGCACTTGGAACACTACCTCAGGGCAACTTAAATGGAAACCCGTTTTCCAGGATGGAGTAAACTGGCAGAAAGTTCCATTGTTCCTCAAATCTGGTATAAATGGTTTGCCTGAGCTGAATATTTCTGAGCCCTAGGTGCACTGCTGAAAAAATAGCTGCTGTTGTTCCAAGCAGACAGTGGTCAAGGAGACAACTAATGAATATGTCAAGCTTTTATTTTCTGTCACTGAGACGTGAGAAGATAGCCTAAATGATCTGAGAAGGAATAGCATTCAGCTGTGTTGGGTTTCCAACACTTTCCAGCTTTTGCACTGTTAGCTTATTTTTTTCCAGAATGGCTCTAATAACAACCCACTCCTTTCCCTGCACTCCTGGCACCTCATGATGTTTTATTATGTTCATGCTGAAAGAAAAGGTGTCTGTGCATACTGTATCTCTTAATTTGGCTTCAGGGATTTCCCTTTGATGTGGAAAGAATAATCTTTCAAATTCCGCTATAAAATATACAGAAGGGAGACAAAAAGATTAAGCACCAGGAATGTGCACTGGTTGTTGACATTTGTTCAAATAGAGCTGAAGGTGAATTATCTTTAGTATTGCTCATGTGAATGATCAATTATTATAAGTCTGAATTATCAGCAGGGTTGTTCAGCATTGATTTATACTGCATGGTTTAATTTTGTCTCCATTTTTCATGATATTAAAACATGGCCAATATTCAGCAGATACCTCCAAAACACCATTAGCTCCTCCACAGCCCCCTAATTGCTCTTTCCCCAGTTCTGCCTGGAATATTTGTGGTGAGCAGCGAGTTATCTCCCCATTGGCAGCCGTCCCTGCTTTCCTGTGCCCAGGGATTGCCCACATCTCATTTGCAAACAGCAGCTCACTCAACTGTCACTAAAGGAGAGGAGGTGGAGCCATGAGAGCTTTAAAAAGAGAAGGGGAGTCATTCCACTTTTCAAAAAGAGAAACTGTGTTTGGGGAGGAATTATATCTACATAGTTCTTCATCTGGTCTCATTCAGGGGTCGTGGTTGGAACTTCTCAATTCTTTCCTATCTTTTTTCTAGCCTCTGCCTTCTCTGCCTGTCACAGTGGAATCAGCCACAGTCCTCCACAGTGTGGCTGTGAAACTCTGTGAAATTTGTCAGACAGGTGTCAGGTATTTCTTACTGGCTTCCAAAAAAAAAACTTAGATAAAGAAATCTTTCCTGGAGTGTCCCTTTCAGGCTGCATTCAGAAACTGTCTTGAGTTGAAGGGCAGCAAGCTGGAGGGAAAAAGGAGCAAAACAGCAGGGTAAAAGATGCCCCAGGGCTGGAGACCACCCTGGGGGGACACGTTTGGGGTGAGGCATACTCATCTTGCTGGGGCTATGCATGAACAAAATCAATTCATTTTTTGTTGAAAGTTCAAACCCATCAAGATCATGCTGCTCTTACTTATTCTGTTGCCAGTGGTTTTTAAATTTAGTTTTGTTAGTCTCTCAGCATTGCAGCACTGGAACTGCCCTGATGGTCTGCCCGTGAGAAGTGGGAGTTCTGCTTGTGTGGGTAAGTAATCCAACTAACAGGAATTCACATCCTCCAGGAAACTGTCCTCAGACCCCTGTTTGTTTTGTCTTGTACACTTGGGCATTCTTTCTGATTCATCTTTGGGGGTGTATATTTGCTTTTTTTTTTTTTTTTTTTTTGCTTTCTGATGTATGTTTATTTCCTTACTGGCCATTAGAGCTACTCTGCTACCAACTATAAAATTTCATGGCTCTCAAACTGTTCTTCTGTGTGTGATTGGATATGTCTCTTTCTAAACTAGCTGAACATTTCAGATAAACCTCAATCTTTATTCTAACTTGAGGAGTAATTAACACTTAGTTGATCAGCTTTATGTTGAAAATTAGAGAAATAGATGTGCATTTTCTTTTTTTAACTTGTTTCTAAGCCATAAAAAAAATCCTTTCTGATAACTTTGTGTAAGAACTCAGAAGTTGCTAAACATCAGTGAAAACTGGGAAGAGAATTATGAACTAATGAGATTCTGTTATTGTAAAAATTAACCTAAGTTTCAAGTTCAACCTCTCCCCCTCTCTCTCTGATCTTTCTTGATGTTTCTAAAGCCCTGACACAGCTCCAATTTTTCAGTAACAGGTGCATTGTAACTTCGGGAACTGCTAAGAAATGACAGTGGGTAAATAAACCGCACCCCCTCCCATGTTAAATGGGTTTTTAGCCAAGGAGAAATGGGATTTTTCTGGATGAGAATTACAGTCCTGCCCAAGGATCTTGTCTGACAGCCACTCTCTTACTGTTGATTCGTTTCTGTAATCCTTGTGCGGGTCTCCAACCTGCTGCTCAGATGAGGCAGACATTTCCAGCTACCAGAGGGTAGGAGCTGCTCTGACATTCCTTTCCTGTCATCTTGCCCTTTTGAAATTGGGTCTGGCTTCCAAAAAGAGGTAGCTCGAGGAAGGTACAGTAAAGTTTCCAGAAGAGAAACCTCTGGAAGACAGCATAAAATAGTAAGCATACAGAGAATAGAACTGAGCTAACTGCCCTTGCTCTCCTGTTAAGAAAGTTACAAATGAGGAAGGCAGGTGCTCTCATGTAGAATCTCAAACTGTCACCAGGCAGCGCTCATTGTATCAGGTGAGCAGAACTCTAGGGTATCTGAAGGAAGGACTGACTTATTATTGTCTCTATGGCCTCCGCACCTAGAACATTTCTGCTTTTATAGTGTGAACCGAGCAAATTCTTGCTGAATAAATGAGGAGTCTTTCCCTGATCTACCAGTCACATAGCCCTCGAGAACAGCAACAAAGAGGGGGTGAGAAAAGACGAACACAGCCCCATGACTCTCTTACTCAGCTGTTGGAGGCAGAAGTAAAAGCTTCTGGACACGGTTTTGTCAAGTGGACTGGAGCCTCTCTGGGGTGGGGGAATTTTGCCTCGAGTAGTTGGCAAATGACCAGAGTTGCATGGCACCTTAGGAGCTATGGTGAGAGTGGCTAGGAAGGAAGAACCCAGACTGCTGAAGCAGAACACAAGAGAGGACAGAAATTACGGAAATGAACTTTGATGCATAGCTTTGGGGTCTCAGGGAACAGTCTGAGCACTTCCAGCAAGCAAGCCTATGCCTTATGTTCCCTGCCACCCCTGCTGGTGGCTTAGCAGTGCCTTCTCTGAGGCAGGTTGCACCAAATAAACACGAAACCCAGGATAGAGACAATGAGTTAGGGAGACTGTGTCACAAAGTCTAACATAGGTGTTAGAAGCAAACAACCTTCATTTCAAATCCATGCTACCTGCTTAATAGCTGAGTTACTTTAGAATACTGCTGGGAAACAATATCCCCCTTTCAGGATTCTTGTGGGGATCATGTGAAATAACACATGAAAAGCACTTTGCACAGTGGTTAGCAGAGTGTGCTCGATAAATGCCCTTTTGGACTCCATGTCTTGGCTCTTTTTTGGTCAAGTCATATCATGAAATGCCTGATTATGAACAGTGCAGTGACATGACAGACCCCACAGAGTGACTAACTGCCCCTTTGCTTCCTTGCAAGTCACTGGTTTAAACCCCCTACTTTACACTCCACATCTTATGTTAGCCAGTAACTGCCTGGGTCACACCCTGTCACCCCCTACATTTCAGAGGATAGTGTTTCTTTCTCCTCTCTAAATAGATATGGTGCGATCATCTATTTTTCCCCCATTGAAATTCTACTTGCCTTATTTCTTGCCCTTGGCATTGAGACAGACCACCTCTGTGGCCAACATGACCCAGCAGGAAGAATGCTTTGTGGTCTAACAAGATTCAGGTAAACTGAGACAAGGTTGTTACTCATGTGACTGCTAGCCAGATAAACCAAGTGATAGAAACACAGAATTAGGTTTTCTTTCCATTCCCCAACCCCCACCTCTCCCCCTTTAAAAATAATTAACTGAGTATTCTGTTAGCTTCTATTTGAGCTATAGTAGGTGAGGAGAGCAGTACAGAAAACTGCTGGCAAGTGGCTACTGAACTTTCAAGTCTATCTGCCCTAGAGGACAAATATTAGCTGAAAAAGGAACTAGTCCTGTTTGACGTATGTACCCACATTATTTATATGAGCTTTCTTGATAAATAAAGGGCAAGGAAGAAGTACAGCCTCAAAGAGCTGGCTGCAGGTGTGATCCTGGGCACACTTAGCCAACAGGGCAGATCACTTAGCAGTAAACAGTGAAATCACTGATTTCAGCACCAGCTAAGGCTTGGTCAGCTTCCCAGTCATGTGCAAGCCAGAGTAATTCTGAGATCAGAATCTTGTTTGTTTTTTCAGCCAGAGTTATGCAGAAGACTTTTTTCTAATCTAACTGCAGAAAAATTAGAGAAATTATATTTTATATACAACATATGAATGAAACCATTCCCCAAATATCCAGTGATTTTTGGTCTTTGGGGGTAGTAGAACTTAGTGGTAAAGAACATAAATTTTGGAGACAGACTACCTGCCTGTTTTCAAATCTCCGTTCTGCTGCTTGTGAACTGTGTGTCTCAATGATTTCCCTACTGTAAAATAAAGGTAATTATGTCTTCCTGCTTGGATTGTTGTCAGTATTGTATTAATGCATTCATTTTCAATGCTGGCTGCACATCAGAATCACCAGCATCCAAGTCGCCACCCCAGTCAATATGGAGCAGAGTCTCTTCCGGGAGTAGAATCGAGGCCTCACTTTTCTTTTTACACTCCATTGGTGCTTCTAACCGGCAGCCTCAGTTTACGACCACTAAGTTGATATGTGTGAAGGGCACAAAACAGAGCCTGGCATGTGATAAGCACTCAGTAAGCCTTAGCTTCTATTAATATAGTTATTGTTCAAATTATTTTCACAAGTGGTAACAGTGATAGTATTTTCTAAATATGGCTTGGTTTCTCCTAAAATCATTAAATACATCTTGACACATGAAAAAATGCCATATTGAAAAACTCAATGATAGTTTTACAACATTAAAAATTGTACTCAAAATAATGTCAACATTCATAATTCATATTTTTGCAATCAGCAGAAATTTTTGGTAAAAATACAAAAACATATGAAATTGATTTGAGTGTGTACCCTTGTGGAACTGCAGCTCTGGAGTTTGTCTTTCTATTATACCAACTGAAAAAGAAATCCCATTCAGTACAAACTAAGCCCATTTGTTAAATTTCTTACCAGTAATATTTTTATTTTAACAATAGCAAAAATAAGCCACTTGAAAGTTTTAGTGATTATTTAAAGTTTTTGTATATTTTCTCTGTGTTTGGAACATATTTCTCTAAGATTTTTAAAGCTGTTAAAGGCATATAAAGGAAAGGTAAATTAGTTCTTTAAATGAATTTAATTTGGGGGGCAGTTTGAGGTTGTCCAGATATTTGAAATTTAGTTTAGAAATTGGGAGGTGAGAATCATTTGCTTGTGTTCAGAGGAGAGCAAGTAATTGCTTGTTTCTATCAAAAGTAAATGGACTAGTAATTTGGCTCAAATAAATTCAAAACCTTACTTTACAATTTGCAATCTGCCTTTATGAAAATCCATTTGAAAAAGTTTCTTGCTTAGTATGATTGGTTGATTTTTTTAGATCAGTAGTCTCCGAACTCCATTCCATTTGTAAAGTAATTAAAATGTGAGCATATGCTCCCAATAAACATTTAGTTATCAATTACATACACATAATATGTACATTATACATATGAACATATGTGTATGTATAATGAACATACATATACTGAATAGTTACAATGCATAATATTTCTAATATTTTCTTTCCACACAATAGTGAACCATCTTACACAGTCTCTATGTGGTATACATCCTCCTGGTTCTAGAGAAGTAGTAAAATGCTGGAATAAATATTTACCTCTCTTCACTGTTAGCTCAGTTCCTTTCACTTAAGCATAAAGAGAGAAACAAAAGAATTGCTAGGGTTTTTTTTTTTCTTCAAGTAAAGGGAAGTTACTTATAGTGAATGATTTCCCAGAGCACATAACAGTAGAAATAAAAATGCAGTAAGATTGTGCTGAGATTCTTCCAGAAGGACCAGAAGGTCAGACCACATCTCTGGGGGTTTCAGAAATTCCAAAACCCTATGGCCTGTTGGGGTCACCATATCTTGGGATATTTAAATCAAATGATTTGTACCTGTAACCTGTGTTCTGGAGAAACCCAGTGTCTCCCTTCTCTATCTCAGAAGATTCCTGGGGGTGGAGGCAGTAACAAAGAAGGAAAGGCTGTGTCACCTCTGGTCCTTCCACCAAACTACTGATCTTCTCTGTATTCCACTTCCCTCATGTGCTGTCCCTTTCCCACACTCCACCACCTCACATCGGCCACCACTGTTTCACTTACTTCTAAAAAGAACTCGTGCTATGAGCTGTGAGGGTACAGACTTTAACTTAAGGCTTGGACCTACCTTTTTAAATGAAAAAAAATTTTTTTAAACTATTGAATAGGACACTGGCATGTTTTAGTAAACAAAAACAGTTCTCAGAAGAGAAATTCTGGCCCCTGGTTTCAAACCAATTCTTTTCCTTT